AGGAGGGTTACTGTGTGTGGATAGGCAGGCAGGAGGGTTACTGTGTGTGGATAGGCAGGCAGGAGGGTTACTGTGTGTGGATAGGCAGGCAGGGGGGGGGGGGTTACTATGTGTGAATAAGTAGGCAGAAGGGTTACTGTATTCACCTAGTTGTGATTGCGGGGATTAGCTCTTTCGGGCCGCCTCTCAACTGTCAATCATCAACTGTTACTAACTACTATTATTTTTTTATTTTCCTCCACACACACACACCCCATGAAGCAGTCCCGTGGCAGCTGTCTAACTCCCAGTTACCTATTTACTGCTAGGTAACAGGTGCATCAGGGTTAATGAAACTATACCCATCTGTCTCCGCTGGGTGCGGGGATCGAACCCCGGTCCCTAGATCCACGAGTCTAGAGCGCTGTCCACTCAGCCACCCAGCCCCATAGCCACTATGTGTGGATAGACAGGCAGAAGGGTTACTGGGAGTGGATAAGCAGGCAGGAGGGTTACTCAGTAGACAAAATATTGAAGTTCTTGCGAGGTAGGATCAAGTATAGCATTTGGGGTTTACGGCTCATGCTCTGTGATATGAAAAATTGGTTTTTAGATAATTATATAAACTATGTATATAAATATAGTATTTTACCTTGCAAATTGGAGTAAAAGTGATCTTTAAATTGCATATTATTTAATAGACAAAAACTGGGAAGAACTACGACTTGGGAAACTTTCTCTTGGGAGTATGCAGCTCCAGCCTGGAGTTCATACCTAGTTAAACACAAGACAAATTTAGAAAAGATTCAGAGGTATGCCACCAGACTAGTCCCAGAACTGAAAGGTATGAGCTACCAGGAAAGGCTAAGGAAGCTAAACCTCACGTCCCTGGAAGATAGAAGAATAAGGGGAGACATGATAACCACCTACAAAATTCTCAGGGGAATTGACAGGGTTATCTCGAGATGATTTCAGGGCTTTTTTTTTTTAGTGTCCCCGCGTCAAAGACAAAGGGTGGACAAAGTATTTAACACGGGTGGAACATAAACAAGGGTACACAGGTGGACGCTTAGTACCCAAATGATCCACAGAGACATTAGAATCAATTTGTTCAGTGTCAGAGTAGTTAACAAATGGAATGCATTAAACAGTGATGTGGGAGGCTGACTCCATACACAGTTTCAAATGTAGATTTGATAGAGCCCAATAGGCTCAATAATCTGTCCACTAGTTGATTGACAGTTGAGAGGGGGGCCGAAAGAGCAAAGCTCAACCCCTGCAAACACAACTAGGTGAATACACACACACACACACACACACACACACACACACACACACACACACACACACACACACACACACACACACACACACACACACACACACACACAGTGTTCCACCTGACACATACACATACACAGTGTTCCACCTGACACATACACACACGTAGTGTTCCACCTCACACACACACGGGAAACAGAGCTCAGGGGAAAGACGGCCCAAGACATGATGGACTACATCACGCAGAAGTGTAAGGAGGCAGCAGTCAAGTTCGTCCCGGTCCAAATGGGAAAAAATTAAATTGTGATAAGTAACTCATGGTTTAATCTGAGATGTAGTCAAGCTAAGTAACGACGTACAAGAGCATGGAGAAACTATAGAAATAACAGGACACTTGAGAGCAGAGAAAGATACCAGAGTGCCAGGAATGAATATATCAGCGTGAGAAGAGGCAGAAGAGCAATATGAAAATGACATCGCAAGTAAGGCAAATACTCAACCTAAATTACTGCACAGCCACATCAGGAGAAAAACAACAGTTAAGGAACAGGTAATGAAACTGAGGAGGCAGACAGATTCACAACAAACGACAAGGAACTGTGCGAGGAACTGAATAAGAAATTCCAGGAGGTCTTCACATTAGAGCAAGGAGAAGTTCCAGAGATTAGAGAAGGAATAGTTAACCAGGCACCATTAGAAGAGTTTGGGATTACCACTGGGGATGTAAGGAAGCTCTTGCTAGAGTTGGATGTAACAAAGGCTATAGGCCCAGACGGAATCTCTCCTTGTTTCCTAAAGGAAGGAGCAGAAGAACTGTGCCTACCACTCTCCATAGTGTATAACAAATCACTGGTAACAGGGGAACTGCCGAAAATTTGGAAGACGGCTAATGTAGCCCCGATATACAGGAAGGGGTATAGACAGGAGGCACTGATCTACAGGCCAGTGTCCCTAACCTGCATACCATGCAAACTGATGGAGAAGATTGTGCGAAAAAAGCTAGTGGAACATCTGGAGCGAAGGAACTTTGTAACACAACATCAACATGGGTTCAGGGATGGCAAGTCCTGCCTCACTCGATTAATTGAATTCTACGACCAGGTAACAAAAATCAGGCAAGAAAGAGGGGTGGGCAGACTACATATTTTTGGATTGCCAGAAAGCCTTTGAAATAGTACCACATAAGAGGCTGTGCAAAAGCTGGAGATGCAGGTGGGTGTGAAAGGGAAGGTACTCCATTGGATAAAGGTGTACCTAAGCAACAGAAGACAGCGAGTCACTGAGGGGGTGAGGTCTCGGAGTGGCAAGGCGTCACCAGTGGAGTCCCGCAGGGTTCAGTACATGGACCTATACTGTTTCTGATCTCCCTGGGGTATAGAATCGTTCCTCTCATTGTTTGCTGATGACGCAAAAATCACGAGGAGGATTAAGACAGAGGAAGATAATAGGAGGCTACAAGAGGACCTAGACAAACTGAATGAATGGTCTAACAAATGGCTACTTAAGTTTAACCCGAGTAAATGTAAGGTAATGAGATTAGGCAGTGGAAACAGGCCAGACACAGGATGCAGAATGGGAGATGGAGTACTTCATGAAACTGACAGAGAAAGATCTAGGATTTGATATCACGCCAAACCTGTCTCCTGAAGCCCACATAAAAAGAATAACATCTGTGGCGTAGGCAAGGCTAGCTAACATCAGAACTGCCTTGAGGAACCTGTATAAGCAATCACTCAGAACCTTGTATATCACATATGTAAGGCCAATCCTGGAGTATGCGGCCCCCGCATGGAGCCCGTACCTTGTGAAGCACAAGACGACGCCGGAAAAAGTTCAGAGGTATGCCACCTGGCTAGTCCCAGATATAAGAGGAAAGGCTGCGTGAAATGCACCTCACGACTCAGGAAGACAGAAGAGTATGGGGGAGACATGATCACTACCTACAAAATCCTCAGAGGAATTGACAGGATTGAAAAGGACAAACTGTTTAACACGGGGTGTACGCGAAAAAGGGGACACAGGTGGAAACTGAATACCCAAATGAGCCACAGGGACGTTAGAAAGAACTTATTCAATGTTAGACTAGTTAACAGATGGAATGCATTAGACAGTGATATGGTGGAGGCTGACTCCATTCACAGTTTCAAATGTAGATATGATAAGAGCCCAATAGGCTCAGGAATCTGTACACCAGTTGATTGACAGTTGAGAGGCGGGACCAAAGAGCCAGAGCTCAACCCCCCCGCAAGCACAACTAGGCGAGTACTTAGTGTTTCGTGTATAACTAGGTGAGTTTCAGTGTTCCACCTGCCACACACAGTGTTCCACCTGCCACACAATGTTCCACCTGCCACACACAGTGTTCCACCTGCCCCACACACAGTGATCCACCTGCCCCACACACAGTGTTCCACCTGCCCCACACACAGTGTTCCACCTGCCCCACACACACAGTGTTCCACCTGCCCCACACATAGTGTTCCACCTGCCCCACACATAGTGTTCCACCTGCCCCACACATAGTGTTCCACCTGCCCCACACACAATGTTCCATCTGCCACACAGTGTTCCACCTGACACACACACTGTTCCACCTGACACACACTTCCACTTGACACAGTGTTCCACCTGACACACAGTGTTCCACCTGACACACAGTGTTCCACCTGACACACACACTGTTCCACTTGACACACACACTGTTCCACCTGACACACTGTTCCACCTGACACACACACTGTTCCACCTGACACACACACTGTTCCACCTGACACACACACTGTTCCACCTGACACACACACTGTTCCACCTGACACACACACTGTTCCACCTGACACACACACTGTTCCACCTGACACACACACTGTTCCACCTGACACACACTGTTCCACCTCACACACACACTGTTCCACCTCACACAGTGTTCCACCTGACACAGTGTTCCACTTGACACACAGTGTTCCACCTGACACACAGTGTTAACCTGACACACACACTGTTCCACCTGACACACACACACTGTTCCACCTGACACACACACACTGTTCCACCTGACACACACACACTGTTCCACCTGACACACACACACTGTTCCACCTGACACACACACACTGTTCCACCTGACACACACACACTGTTCCACCTGACACACACACACTGTTCCACCTGACACACACACACTGTTCCACCTGACACACACACTGTTCCACCTGACACACAGTGTTCCACCTGACACACAGTGTTCCACCTGACACAGTGTTCCACCTGACACACAGTGTTCCACCTGACACAGTGTTCCACCTGACACAGTGTTCCACCTGACACAGTGTTCCACCTGACACACAGTGTTCCACCTGACACACAGTGTTCCACCTGACACACAGTGTTCCACCTGACACAGTGTTCCACCTGACAGTGTTCCACCTGACACACAGTGTTCCACCTGACACACAGTGTTCCACCTGACACACAGTGTTCCACCTGACACACAGTGTTCCACCTGACACAGTGTTCCACCTGACACAGTGTTCCACCTGACACAGTGTTCCACCTACCAGTATTTACGACTGACATGTTTTAGTAAAGGAATAATCAATGAGAGGCTTGACAGAGGGGCCGGCCTACCTTGCCCGAGGTCACGTAGGCCTACCCTCCACTCCCCTAACACAACCTGTACAAAAATGTAACAATTCTTGTATATATAAAAAAAAAACTGTCGCTCTAAAAGGCTCTTAACTTACCTTTCTTGTAGACAAATCTTGAAATGTCTCGATATCAGCATTAAACCACCCGAGTGGGTCAAATGTCTTACTGGTAACTACTTCCCAGTGTGAGGGCCTCGGGGCGAAGTTATTTCCCAGTTTGAGGGCCTCTGGACCAAGTTACTTCCCAAGGTGTCAAGTATATCACATGTAATAATAATTACTATTGCCGCAAAACACAGGCCAGTTAAAAATCACTTCTACAGCTCCCAAAACATTTTTAACACAATTTTCTTATTTATTTCTGCATGTGCACATCGATCACCCGAAAACTATCAGGTAATTGTATTCCACTAAACACTCGTCCTCGTGTGTGGAGTCCACAAGACACACTCGAGTGTATGACGGCGTGCCGCAGGGGACAAGACGCAACCAAGAGACACGCACATCCACTCACGCCGAGGGTTGGGGCACAACTGAGCCAAGTTGGCGGTGGTTGGCTGAGGCGAGAGGGACGTGCCCGCCAGGCCCCGCCCCCCCACCACCCTTCCCGGCCACGCCCCGCCCCTCCTCAACCCCGCCCCTACCAAGACCCTCCCACCCCACTGTTTATCATCCCCCCCTCAAAAAAGTAATAAAAATCCCAACCTATTCGATCCCTCAAAAATGGCCAATATGCCCCCCAAAAGTCCCCCTGCCCCAGCCAAGCACTACTACTACAGTGCTCCCTATGTCCCGCCCCTGATCCCCCCAGCCTGCAGCACACCCCATAATGCCCCCACACTGTACACCAGCTGACTGGCAGTTGAGAGGCGGGACCAAAGAGCCAGAGCTCAAACCCACCGCAAGTACAACTAGGTGAGTACACTGCACAGGTCCCCCAAAATGCCCATCCTGCCCCATCCCCCGTGCCCTGTGTCCCATCCCCCGTGCCCTGTGTCCCATCCCCCGTGCCCTGTGTCCCATACCCCGTGCCCTGTGTCCCATCCCCCACCAAAATGCACAACTTACGCTTCCCTCGAAAATGTCCATCCTGCCCTATCACCAACCCCACACCCTGCCCCACCACCAACCCCACACCCTGCCCCACCACCAACCCCACATCCTGCCCCACCACGAATCCCACACCCTGCCCCACCACCAACCCCACACCCTGCCCCACCACCAACCCCACACCCTGCCCCACCACCAACCCCACACCCTGCCCCACCACCAACCCCACACCCTGCCCCACCACCAACCCCACACCCTGCCCCACCACCAACCCCACATTCTGCCCCACCACCAACCCCACACCCTGCCCCACCACCAACCCCACATTCTGCCCCACCACCAACCCCACACCCTGCCCCACCACCAACCCCACACCCTGCCCCACCACCAACCCCACACCCTGCCCCACCACCAACCCCACACCCTGCCTCACCACCAACCCCACACCCTGCCCCACCACCAACCCCACACCCTGCCCCACCACCAACCCCACATTCTGCCCCACCACCAACCCCACATTCTGCCCCACCACCAACCCCACACCCTGCCCCACCACCAACCCCACATTCTGCCCCACCACCAACCCCACACCCTGCCCCACCACCAACCCCACACCCTGCCCCACCACCAACCCCACATTCTGCCCCACCACCAACCCCACATTCTGCCCCACCACCAACCCCACATTCTGCCCCACCACCAACCCCACACCCTGCCTCACCACCAACCCCACACCCTGCCCCACCTCCAACCCCCCCTACCTCACCCCCAACCCTACACCCTGCCTCACCACCAACCCCACACCTTGCCCCACCACCAACCCCACACCCTGCCCCACCACCAACCCCACACCCTGCCCCACCACCAACCCCACACCCTGCCCCACCACCAACCCCACACCCTGCCCCACCACCAACCCCACACCCTGCCCCACCACCAACCCCCCCCCCTGCCCCACCACCAACCCCACACCCACCCCCACCACCAACCCCCCCTGACCCACCACCAACCCCACACCCTGCCCCCCCCCCCCTCCCACCCTTCACTATACCCAGCACCGTCACAAGATGCCCACCTGCCCCGCCCCCAACCTTGTCACTCCCTTTCCCTGTCACCTCCCCCCCCCCCCCCCCCCCCCTCCCACCCGCTCCGTGACCCGCTCGCCAGCCAATCACAGGCCGGCGTCTCCCGCCACAGGAAAGTTGCGCACACACATTTGCTGCAACAGTCATCCATAGCCTATTAATTTGATCCTTATTTAACATTTTGTAGGATTTTGCTTTAAGGCAAACTGAAGGTCTTACACTCACTGACGAATTGACATTACAAATGTATGTGTAGCAAGTTGTTATTTACGAGGAAATGTGGTTAATGTGAGCACGTGTAGCCAGGCTCCAGCCTGCCTCTCCACGCCACAATCTCAGCCAACTAAATTACCCGGTCATTATAGATTAACTATCGCCAGGCTGTCTGTACAACTGGCTTAAGTTCGTGCGGATTATACACGCCAACTTCAGGATATACACTTGGCCATTTACGATATACTTAACTATATTAACCGTTGGGCAAAGCCAAGAAATAATTAACGTGTAGGGAAGTGATGTTGGCAGTGGAACCCAGCAGCGAAGGTTCTCATTATGGGTGAACCAGCACACACAGGTGGTTCAGTGAGGCCGGTGTCCTAACACATCCCTGGGCACTAATTGTTGGACTACAGTCATTTATCACCCAGCTGCCCATCCACGGCCTAGGCTCCTCCACGCTCCCGCACACCCACACACACTCCCAAAATTTTAAGACTTTGTGCATCTAGAGCTAGCTCTATCCATTCCATTCTACCCTAGCTCTATCCATTCAGCCTGACAGCTGAATGGATAGAGCTAGGGATTCGTAGTCCTAAGGTTCCGGGTTCGAGTCCCGGTGGAGGCGGAAACAAATGGGCAGAGTTTCTTTCACCCTGATGTACCTGTTCACCTATAAGTAAATAGGTACCTAGACAGCTGCTACGGGCTGCTTCCTGGGGGACATGTAAAAAAAGGTCTGGTCGAGGGCCGGGCCGCGGGGACGCTAAGCCCCGAAATCATCTCAAGATAACCTCAAGATAACCAAAAAGTACATAAATGATTTTCACATATAAATTACTATTAATGTGTATTATACATTAGTGTAGAGTGCATGAGGCCTGTGACATGTGTTGGTTCTCTTACAGCTCAGCCTCCTACAGTGAAAGTACTTATAGTGACCAGCATGTGGGCGAAAGTGACCATCATGTGGGAGAAAGTGACCATCATGTGGGAGAAAGTGACCATTATGTGGGAGAAAGTGACCATGTGGACGAAAGTGAACATCATGTGGACGAAAGTGAACATCATGTGGGCGAAAGTGACCATCATGTGGACGAAAGTGACCATCATGTGGACGAAAGTGACCATCATGTGGACGAAAGTGACCATCATGTGGACGAAAGTGACCATCATGTGGGAGAAAGTGACCATCATGTGGACGAAAGTGACCATCATGTGGACGAAAGTGAACATCATGTGGACGAAAGTGACAATCATGTGGACGAAAGTGACCATCATGTGGACGAAAGTGACCATCATGTGGACGAAAGTGACCATCATGTGGACGAAAGTGACCATCATGTGGGAGAAAGTGACCATCATGTGGACGAAAGTGACCATCATGTGGGAGAAAGTGACCATCATGTGGACGAAAGTGACCAGCATGTGGCCGAAAGTGAACATCATGTGGGCGAAAGTGACCATCATGTGGACGAAAGTGACCATCATGTGGGAGAAAGTGACCATCAAGTGGACGAAAGTGACCAGCATGTGGCCGAAAGTGACCATCATGTGGGCGAAAGTGACCATCATGTGGGAGAAAGTGACCATCATGTGGACGAAAGTGACCATCATGTGGACGAAAGTGACCATCATGTGGGAGAAAGTGACCATCATGTGGACGAAAGTGACCAGCATGTGGCCGAAAGTGACCATCATGTGGACGAAATTGACCATCATGTGGACGAAAGTGACCATCATGTGGACGAAAGTGACCATCATGTGGACGAAAGCACAAAAGTGTCGTGATGGTCCACCAAAAAGTTGACATTTATATTATTAAATTTGGACAAACCTAAAGTTATTATATTTATGTTGCTAATAACGTCATTTATCACTGACCTAGCGACCCTAGGCCTAAAACTCGCCACCTGAGGCCTGTTACGTACTCCTAGCTGAATACGTATATAAATTTAAAATAACTTGTTTTGTTCCATTATATCATTGCCTGTATATGTACACACATTGTGTTTTTGTAAATTATCGTGTGGTGTGGCAGCGTCAGTGGGGACAGGAGCGCGGTTGCTTTGCACACGTCTAATACCTGTTAGATTCGGGAAGTTGGACCTGTTCAGTTTGGAAGTTCCAGATGTCACTTTTATTTAGTATATATAATTGTTTGTTTACTATAATTAAACAGGTGGCATTGTACTTATATATTTTGCAAGTAACTATTATATGTAATTTGCATTCTTATGTGTTTTGAGAACAAGTGGTTGTTCAATTAGTTTTAAATATTAAAAAGTCTTTAGTTTCCATCCCTCATCCTGGATGAGGCAGAGGAGGAGAGGATTATGGGTAGCGACAGAGCGAGAGTTCAGTAGCTGATACGGGCCAAGGGAGCTCACACCTTTGTAGAGTTAAGTCTGTAACATTCATGTTGTGCCATATTTTATTATGTTATATTAAGTGTAATGACAATACTTTTTTGGTTTGTTGTATAAGTTAACTTTACCATCTGTGTTTTTATATTACCCTGTTTTGAATATATATATTATAAGTTATATGTATAATTCTTCAGTCCTAAGGGAGAAATACTTTAAGTCTTAGCCTGTTATCATTCATGGGGTTATACTGGTGACCCGCTTAAGAGAGCAGCAGTGGTATCCCTAGACGTATTTAAAGCTTGGCTGCTGTAGGGTCACGAGCCGTAACGAACGATAGGTAACAAGGCCTAACATGGTACTATGCTATACTAAGCCTAGGAATATTTTTTAATTTAACAGTACAAAACGTAGTTTAAGTGGGGCTCCATTACTACATATCAGTACGATCGACTACATAGTTACAAAAGATACTATCAAAAGAGGAGGATGGGTTGTTGCATGTGTAACACGTGGGAGAAGAATTTCAACCTGTCCTCAAGCTAGGCTCGTTAGAGCGGCGGGCCCCCCCCCCTACCCTACCCTTCCAAGACGTATTCATCATTTTTTAACACTGTATTAAAATAAGGTTTGTACTCATTATATAAATATTATATTAAAGTGTTATGTATAGTTAGGAGTTGGTTAGCTTGGGGTTTAGATTCTGTTGACGATTATTTGTATTAGCAGTCCGTGGGTGAAGGTTACCAGCCCGTCCTCATAAACAATGGCACAAAAGTGATTCCATGCACCCGCCAACCCCCCCCCCCTGTTTATATTTGAAAAACCGTTTA